CACAATAGGAAGTCAGTAGGTATCTAAGATTCAAAAATCAAGAAATGAATTATAAGCATGCTGGTTAGGAATATGAAATGAAGATCAAAATAAAAGGATGGACAGGTTGAAGTTTGTTGTTTCTGGGGAGCAGAAATTAGAGTGTGGTAGGCAAGTGGTAGGGCACGGCTATTTTTCATATAGACTTAAGGAAACTTCTGACTTTCTGTACTATAAATTGTACAACTTGAATAAAAATAAAAATTCTATACATGTTACATAGAACTCCTTCTTCAACAAAGTCCCTTCTCTCACTCTTCCTACTGATGAGCAAGTTTAGATCAAGGATACTGCACTTCTCTTTCTAACCAGTTACTCTGTTCACCTGAAAATCTAGCAAAAGGCACCAGTTTTTACGGATGTCAGTTTCTTTCAAATCAGCTTTTGAAAACAGTGTTAAAACATTTTCGTTTAAACTTTTCATGTCTAAGAACAATATATTATACCTCTACTTTCTTTGGACACTAGATATTGAACTGTTTTGTAGTTTTTATTAATACCTTATTTTGCCTTTTTATTTGTGAAACTCTTCAAAGGCTACGAATGGAATAGGACTTACTGTTAATATGAGCTATCACGATCATTAAATTGAGTTAATTTAACACTGTTCCAAAGCAAAGCGATGTGTTTTAGTTTTTAAGATGACTTATAAACATGTTTTGCTAATTTAAGAGAGGAAGATTTCCAACAAACAAATACATGAATATGAAAACGTCAGCTAGCAGGTGTTTTGCAGGAATTGCAGGGTGGTCTGGAAACAGGGGTTCCATTAGATTGGGATGGCCAATTAATACGCTTTAAGGAGGTTACTTTTAAGCTGAACCAAAAGGAAAAGGAAGAGACAGTCAGCTGAGGTTTAGAGAAAGAAGTTTCAGACAGAGGGGTCTATGAATGCAAATATCCTACAGGAGGAACAAACTTGTCTCCAGTTTGGGGACAGCAGAAGGTCAGTGCAATTGGAGTCAAGCCAACAGGGGAATGAGGCATGAGATAAAGTTAGTGGTGTAGGCAGGAGCCAGATCGTGGGGTGCTGGGTAAATCATCTGCATTTATTGTTTTAAAGACAATGGGAAAGTTATCAAAAAGTTTAAGAATTTAGGAGATGCAGTTTTGGCAGAAGTACCTTATACCTTGGTATAAGAAGTTTTTTTTTGTCCCTCTTCCCTTCTCATTTTCTTTCCTCTAACTTTTTCTTTGTATGTTAATAATATAGAAGTCTTATAGAAATAAAGTCAAAATACTTATAATACAGCCACTATCTACTTTAATGACAACTCTCTCTCATCATCACCCTTTGAACTATTCTTGTTTTTACTCCCCAGGCACCTCCTTATCTATTAAGTGAATTCCTTTTGATCCTTGGAAACTCATCTTGGTGTCACTTTGGTTAAGCTTTCTCTGGTCTTTTTAAACATAATTAAGACATTTTATACATGGACTTAGCATAGAAGTTATGATATTGTATTATGAATGTGGTTCTATTCACATTTTCTTAACTGATCATAAGATCCTCCTACCCTAAATAACATGAGTTTGACTTGATAAGGATATATGCTCGTTCCTTAGGTCTCATGAATATAACATGATGCCCAGTACATGAAAAGCATATAATAAGTGTTTGTTGGATGACTGTGGACAGTTCAGTCGACCAGAAAGTGAGTAGCAACGTGGGGAGTAGAATCGAAGTCTTGACCTACAGATAGACCAGAAGCACTTGGTCTCCTTGGTTATTGAAAAACTGTCATCTCTATCTATAGACATTGCACATGTGCCACTTTATGAGGATCAATATCACGGCTTCATAACTGATGAACAAATAGATTACAGGTGGGGAAAGGGAGAGATCTCTGCTAGCCCCCAGTTTGTTCCTGGTAGCTTGAGATAGCCTGGTCTTTATCCCAATGTGTCATACATATATTGTCATTTTCCATGTGAGCCATAGGATGGAAAACAGTTGACAACACTACATATAACCTGAAGGGGGCATACTGAACGATTATCAAAATAGTGGGTTGATTGCAAGAATGAATTGGCAAAATTTTACAATCTCCACTTAGCTAAAAAGAATAGTGCATGTATGAGTAATAGATATTTCTGCTTGTTAGGGCCTATATACAGGATCATAATTTTTCCCCCAGAAAATTTCTAAAACAGCTTTGCCTTAAAGTAAAAATTGATTTAGAGTCAATGAAAATTATACAAAATGTTAATTCCAGTTTTTTTTAAAGTTGTTATAGTTATTTCTGATTTATGATGAACAGGCTTAAGAAGAAATCTGTTAAGCTTTGAGAATTTTGCTCTGATTACATGAAAGCAGGAAAAACAGCAAACTTAACTTTTCCTTGCCCAGGGGTGAGCTCATTTTGTTAAAGGTAATATTCACGATAGTTCAGATTGGCATCAACTCGAGTAGGGCCGGCAGGGTTATTTTACATTTGGCAGACTTATCTGTAAATGGGCAAATTCCACATGTAGACAATTATTTCTGGAAATATAAGTGTGTGTGTTTGTGTGTGTGTGTACTTATTGAGAATTCTCATTAATTCATGCCAATTCTGTGAAAAGGAGTCTACATTAATTTAAAAAAAATCACAAAGTACTTTGTTACTAAAGGAACATGTAGTAATTACTTTAATGACTACACATGGCTGCGGTATATTCTTTTTTTTTTTGTAAGGTTTCTTCCTGAGACTTTTTTTCTCTAATCAAGTGACAAAATCTACTAAGGTTTACCTTGGTAGACCTTTTCTTTGCTAAAGCAAGGATAAACTTGACCAAAGTGCCTGTTGACATTTTTCTACAGATATTAATATAACAAAAATATATTTTTAGGTGAGGTATTTTCTTTCTTGGGTCAATTCTGGAATATACCAGGATTTAATCAATTAGCTCAGGGATGTGAAATGAGTGCAACATGATAGGAACATTGTTTTTAATTTCAAGAATATAATTTTACGGGTGAAAAACTGAAAACATTTAACAAAGTCTTTTTTTTCAATCCAAGGATGCCTTTCTCAGTCACTCAATACTTGTGATATGACATTAATCTTGGTTTTCTTAAATTACATTTTCAGAATCACATTTTCTTTTAATATAATTCAAAATATTTAATATTGCTATGGATGTAGTTTCTCTATAACTCCTTATTCAAAATGAGAAAATAAATTTCTGAGTTATGCTCTTGATGTATTTTATATTTTTTTAAAAGACAACTCAGTTAGATGAATAAGGCTTATTATGTTTATATTTCATGATTTTTACTCTTAAGAGTTCTAAACAAGGACGATAACATGATTCTTTTCATGAAGAGTTTTTTTAAAGGGGACTTTTGTAGGGAAAAATCACACACTTCCTTGTGTTACACAGCAAGCATCCTGTGTGTTATTTAGAGATTCTTTATCATGGAGGGTGGTCCAGTGGTAATTTACCACGGAAAAAAAAGGAGTGTACAAAAATTTAATTATTATTTGACCTCAAATAATTATATGCCACTAAACTAATTAAAGAGCGAATTAACAATGTGCCACTAATGGGTAGTCTGCTGTTTGCATGACTCACTCATCTTTCGCAAAGAATAAGTGATTTGTATTAGAAATGAGTTGTTAAGGATGTTTTGGGGGATAACTATCGCTGTCATTTCTATGTTAAATCACAGGCCCAACCTCTGGATAAAAAGAGACAGGCTTATCATGAGCCAGGGAAACGGCAGCCCTAGCCTGATAGCTCTGACTCGAGGCCTTGTTTAAAAGCTATGACTCAGTGCAGGGCAGCCAGGGAGCTCTGGTCCTCTCAGTTCCTTCCAAACCAGCCATTCAGCCTCTAATGTTCAGGTTGCGTGCCTCATGCTGATTATTTCTGTGAAGTCCATCAGAGTCAGCCTTATTCTCCCAAGCATTCATCTTCATTTCCAAGCGAATGAAGGGGGATTTCAGTGGTACTACTGTTCACAGAGCAGAGCTAATAGTTCAATCAGAAAAACAAAACAAAAACAAAAAAATCAGCTAAAGAAACTGGTAGAAGAATGTTAGTTCTAACATAGAGGCTTTAAATACATCAATGTGGAGTGTATGGGTGTTTGTAGTGAGTGTGCTCCTGTAGCTTGTGCAGTTTATTTTTATGATGAGGATCAAAATATCCATAAGTATGAACAGCGATTTCCTATTTACATGTATTATTATTGAGTGGATTTTTTATTTTCGTTCTGTCTCTTTTTATAACTTCCCATATGACTTCTTTTATTCATTTCATCCCTTCCAGTAAGTAAATTACAAAGACTTTTTTTTATTTCTTCTTTATTCAACAACCTATAGTTTAAGGTAATTGGTTGATCAAGAGGCAACAACCTAGCCCCAGTATAAGTCACATTATATTTCCGTCAACAACAGCACAAATGTGATAATAAATTGCTGTTGCTGGTGCACAGACACAACAGGGACTGTGGCTTACTAGAAAAACTATATCCCTGGTGGCAACCTTGGAATGTAAACCCAGGGACAGTCTATTACTACCATGCTTAGAAAGAAGCTAAGTTGGAAATCCAGATTTTTATGTGAATTCAATTGACTTTTAAAGGTTGGCAACTAATTTAAAATTTTAAACACTGTGCAGAGCAGCAACCAATTTGCAAGCTATTTCTGGCCCACGGGCTGCCAAAATCTGAACCCTCTGATTTAAGCTCTGAAGTTTTAATGGCATCCTTTATTTCACTTTAATTAACTGAGAAATGATCCTCATTTTCTATTACTTCCCCTCAATAGAAACATTGCAATAAACAATAGAAAGGTTGGGCCAAATATAACAACCACAAGTTTTTACAAATAATTTGATATAAACCAATTATAGTTACCATTTTATAAATGAGAAAAGAGATGCTTAGAGTAATTACATGATTTACCCATTAGCATGAAGCTGGTAGAGTGCATCCCCCCTAAATATTAATACCAATCTTGTTTTCTTTTCAGTTAACCTGCTCTGTGGACTGAATTGCGTCTCCCCATCTCCAAATTCATATGTTGAAGACCTAACCCTCAATGTGATAGTATTTAAAGACAGGACTTTTAAAGAGGTAATTAAGGTTAAATGAAGTCTTAAGTGTGGGGCTCTAATTTGGTAGGACTGGTGTCCCTATAAGAAGAAAAAGGGAAACTAGGGGCTTTTGCACATAGAAGAGGCCACAGAGAGAAGATGGCCATATGCTCACCAAGGAACGGAGCCTCAGGAATTACTAGCCCTGCTCACAACTTCATCTTGGATTTTCGGCTTTCCCAACTATGAGACAATAAAATTCTGTTGTTTAAGCCAAAGCAGGGCAAACAACCACAGCCTCCTCCACTCAAAAGGACAGATACTGATTGCTTCATATTTCCCATAAGCCAATAACATTCCAATCATCCATCATATCAAGTTCAAAATATTTCTATGGAAAGAAACCGATTCTGTGGACATTTAAATGTCTGATCTTGTGTAGCATATGCTAGGATATAAATACATTTACTGAATGAATGGTTGGTACTAAATACTGTAATGTCTGAAAATCTCGGTGTGATTAAAATGTTTCCTTTTTCTCTTTAATGACAAACACTGAATGGATGTAGACATAAATGTTAAAATTCTTCAAAAAGATATAACAAAAATGCAATCTTTTTCTTAAAAGTAATAATTTAACACAAACTGTTTATTTTATTTAAAGTATGAGAAGGTTGCTATTTAGACTTAGTACTATATTTAATTTCACCCAACCCAATTTAATTTTTACTTTTTCCAATCCTGTTTTCTAATTATACAATTTAAACTTAGTTTTGAAAGTGGCATTTCAAAAAAGCTAAAACAAAACTGGAACATTGCATTATAAGAATAAAAAGATAATTAAATATAGACACCTAAAACGTCCTATCAGCATGACTATACAGTATTAAAAATAATCAAAATACTACTTTATTACAAATTATATGAAAAAGTAAGTAGTTAACATGCTCTTAAGTATGCATTGCAGAAAACAAAATATGTTATTTGGAATCAATCACAAGAGAATGTTATTTTGATTAGAAATTGAATTTTAATAATGAAAATTTTCAATTTCTTTCAGAATAAGAAAAGTGAGTAATACTGATGAAAAATTGTCCCATTTGGAAAAAATTTTAAGGTACAGACCTGGATGAAGGTATTATATTACAATCTAATGTCAGAAAAAAATGAAGATTAAGAAATGAAAATGTGTCCTAATGTAGTATTCTTTAAGAGAAATGAACTATTTGCAAATATATAATCAGTTATTTAGAATAGTAAAAATGTTTTTTTACCCCCAAATTAAATTCCTATGAAATTAAATTTTATAATAATAAAAAGAGACATTTATTCCCATGATATACAAATATAGGCTATGCTTACTGTATATATGTAAGTGACAGGGAAACTGGAAAGAGTTAGTGGGGAGAAAGGAGGAAAATGCCTCAATTTATAACAGATGTTTAAAATGCACCTTGGGATACATTCATTATGGACATACACAATTAATCCTTCAGAACCTGCTGCTCACATCATGCTTTCCTTACCTGTTCATTGGTTTACACCTGCACATTAGGAGTGCACCTGGTTGAAATGTGAGTGACTCCCAACACCAGCTTGTTAAATCTTTTCCTATAAATTTTCCTCTTTAAAAAGTAGCAGAATAAATTTAGAGACAAAGAAATGCACCTACATAAACAAGTAGATCCCTGAAAAGCATAAGCAGCCACTGAACTCAACCAAAAAGCACAGGTGGAAGGAGAGTTTAAAGGACCTCAGAGCACTGTGAATGTTTTTCACAGCATCACAATTACAGAAACACCTGGTTCTGCAAACGGGCTGATCCACTGGGAAAATTTTCCAGTGTTCAATGGGCCTCAGAGTGGCTTTAAGATATCAAATGGGGGCTCCATGCTGACATTGAATTAAAAATATCTGGGATCCCAGGCTAAAGACCTTCTTGGTAACTGTTGTTCTGTCCACTAAATAAGTCTTTACTATGCATTTTTAGTGCACCTATTAGTAGCAAAACTCAAAACATTATGAAACTTGCCTGGCCTTTGGAGAACATATTGAAATTAATATCAACCATTTCTCATATGATGTGAGATCTAAGAAATCATTAGGCAAAATAATTAGCCAAACTGCTGTCTCGATAGAGACTTATTATTTCTCTCTCTATGTAAGCTACAAAGCTTAGAATAACGACTTCATTGAGAAAGCTATGTGGTGGAAATCAGATGTCACAGACTACCCTGGTGACATGTCAGTTGGTTCCTGATCATCTTTATTTCAGTATAACTTTAAATGCAGGATAACATAAATATCTGTTATGCTTTATTACATCTTGCATAATTATAATAATTAAGTAATAACTATAATCACTAAAAATGTATCTTTTTGATTATTGTTAATTTTATGTGCAGTGTTTAGTTTGGTAGTAGAGCTAGAAGATGAGAAATTGCTAAAACCTAAACAATGTTTCCATGCATAGGGCACACATATAATAAAGATATATAATTGATATTTTTAAAGTTTCACTCTTAGTTTCATACTTTGCATCAGTTGAGAAGTGATGTAATCTTATCCTAGCAAGTACAGAAATGCTATTTAATGTTCTACCTTCTGACTAAAGTCTTCGTGGTATGGATGCAATATTCAGTTTTGAATATTGCTACTTCTCAGACAGACCTCCAGGCATTTGTTCATATGTAAATACAAAACCATGTGTACAACTTTCAATATAAAAATAAATAATTCTGGATTGCTCTCTGCCACTGTCCTCTTTGTTGATATGAAAAATAAGGAATTGAGTAAATATCTTCCCACTGCTATTTTATGAAAACAAGAGAAAACAGGTACCTACTCACAGAGTAATATGGCCTCACACATAGCAAATTATGTATTTGGGGTGGAGTGGGGTTTTCTCTGGAAAGTCCTCAAAGTACTGGATTGCATCTGGCAGGTTTTTTGATATAATATCAAAGGAGTGATAGGGGACACAGGGAGGGTCTTCCAAGTTCTTCAGCTCTAACTTTGAGATGGGGAGACACTGGATATTGTGGCAGTGGAAGGACATGAGTGGTTTTAGGTTTTAACAGTTACTGATCACTGTAACTGTACCAGTTCCTGACTACTGTTTAGAGAAAAGGGAGAAAGAATAGAAGCAGGGAGACCAGCTAGGAGGCCACTGCTATAATCCAGGAGGGATCAAAATGGCTTGGATTATGGTGGTAGCAGAGGAAATGGTAAACAGTGGTCAGACCCACTCTGTTTTGAAGGAATATCAGATTTGGGATAACAGATAAGATGTGGAATCAGAAAGAAAAAGAGGAGTCAAGGATGAATCCAAATTTTGTAGCCTGTAAAACTGAAAGGGTAAAATTGATTTAAACTGATATGAACCCATGTCATAAAATAATACTTGGGAGCATTATTTTTATTAATTGTGTCCTAATTTTACAATGGCTTGACTCTGGAGCTTTAGGATGAGACTTTAAACTCTTGACTTTCAAGTTAATGCTGAAATGAGTTAAGACTTTTGGGGACGATTGTGCAGGCGTGATTGGTTTTGAAATGTGAGGACATGAGATTTGGGAGGGGCCAAGGGTGGAATGATATGGTTTGGTTGTGGGGACACAAATCTCATTTTGAATTCCCACATGTGGGAGGGACCCGGTGGGAAGTAATTGAATCATAGGGGCAGGTCTTTCCTGTGCAGTTCTTATGACAGTGAATAAGTCTCATGAGATCTGATGGTTTTAAAAACAGCAGTTTCCCTACCCATGCTCTCTCTTTTTGCCTGCTGCCATCCAGGTAAGACAATGGCCAGCTACACCTTGCCTTCAACCATAATTGTGAGGCCTCTCCAGCCATGTGGAACGGTAAGCTCATTAAACCTCTTTCTTTTGTAAATTGCCCAGTCTCAGGTATCTCTTTATCAGCAGTGTGAGAACAGACTAATATTCTGGGACAAAATTTGACACCTGAATGTGAGGTGCTGCTGTAACAAAAATCTAAAACATGTTGCATTGGTTTTGGTACTGGGTGGAAGATAGGAGCTTGATCTCGAAGAGCATTTTACGAAAAATTGGAAAGGCCTCCAGAAAAGTGTTAGAATCCTAATGCCCTTAGGAGCTGTCAAAGGGGCATGGAAGAAAATGAAGGAAATGCTATTGGACGCTGGGGGAAGTGAGAGTCCTGTTATTGGGTGGGAAGTTTAGCAGAACTGCTCTTTGCAGTAAAATGGAAAAGAGGAAATCAACCGAATGATCTCAATGATAGCTAAGATTTCCAGGCAGTGTTGAGAGTGCCTGTGGAGAAGCGACAGATGAACTAAAGGGCATACTGTTCAGCTTTCGAGTAGAATTTAGATGACATACAATGTAAAGGGTGAAGAACAGTCTTTTTTTCCCCAGCAAAATGTTCTCACAGAAAGGGCCTCAGAACAAAGAATAGGTAAAATTTGGAGTTTTTGTTAAGATCTTTAAAAGATCTAAAGTGGTACTTTTTTTTTTTTTTTTTTTAATTTATTTATTATTATTATACTTTAAGTTGTAGGGTACATGTGCATACCGTGCAGGTTTGTTACATATGTATACTTGTGCCATGTTGGTGTGCTGCACCCATCAACTCGTCATTTACATCAGGTATAACTCCCAATGCAGTCCCTCCCCCCTCCCCCCTCCCCATGATAGGCCCCGGTGTGTGATGTTCCCCTTCCCGAGTCCAAGTGATCTCGTTGTTCAGTTCCCACCTATGAGTGAGAACATGCGGTGTTTGGTTTTCTGTTCTTGTGATAGTTTGCTGAGAATGATGTAAAGTGGTACTTTATAAAACCTTACAGACAGACAAAAGCACCTCTAAGGATCCCAAGGGAATGCCTTTCAAATACCATGCCTTCCACAAATAATACAGCTTCTAAGAGTCATAAAGTCTTAGCTCAAAAAGATTGTGCTTATATGTAATAGAGTGACATCCAATATGATTTATTTTTAAAAATCCAACAAATATTTAAAAGTAATTTTTCTAAGGGAAGCACCAGAAGTTTGACCTAAAGGAGGCATCTGGACTCCAACTATGAAGGAGAGGAAGAAGAAATCTCAGGTACAAATCAGGCCCCTTTGTATAAAAAACAAAGAATAATTCACAAGGAAGAGCCAGGAACCACGGAGAACAACTCCCAGAGATTAGAACTGAGCCCCTGTCAAGGAACTGGCAAGATGTGTCCAGTTGGATTGCAGGATTGTCTCATGCTCAGTACATTCTCTCCCACTTTTAGAATGGGCCTGTCTATTAATCGCTATCCTATACCCATCTCACCATTGTATGCTGATTGTGTAGAGGGCAGATGACTTGTCTTTGTAGTTCACTGGTCTTTAGATTGAGAATAATAATATGCAACTTGCTGTACCTGAGGAACTTCACCTGAACAGCCTCCAGTATACAATCTGATTAGATGACAAGGTCTCCTACAAGCTTGAGTATAGTGGAATGAGAATTTGTGTGTTTCGGGTGGGGTTGAGTGAATTTTGTATGTGAGAAGGATGTGATTTTTTGGTGGTTGGAAAACAGACTGTGTCAGAC